TGTTACTCGTAAATAATAATACTAATATATAATGTTATACAAATAAAGAAATCTAACTAATAAACTAATATAATAATGTTAATAAAAATATATATAAAAATTAAGAAATAAGGTTAACAATATATATTTTTGAACATTATGAATATTTATTAGTTATTATATATATTTTGAATTTTACGAACATTTGTTAGTACTATATTTTTATATAATAAAGAATATTTAGTTTATTATATTTTTTTACATAATAAAGATTTTATGAAATATTGTGAAAAATAATAATTAATTTAAAATAATTAAAAAAAAACTAAAGAACTAATTTAATTTGAATATTTGAAAAAAATAAAAAATAAAATTCATTAAAAATCTTTGAAAAATTCTAAATCAATTCTAATGAAAAAGAAAAAAAAAATATTAGAAATTATTGAATAAACTGATTTAATTCTTGTGTACTGTTTTTAAGTAAATATATTAGTGTCTGAAAATATCTTACTTTTAGATAGCAAGGTTATGAATAAGTTATTAAACAACTGCTTGAAATTTCGAAAAACCATGGAAAAGATAAAAAACAGTAAAGTTATAAACATAACCTGCTGAACTACTATCTATTACACAAAAAAAATCACAAAAAAATTAAAGCATCATAGTATAAGAGTTGTGTTAATCAAGAAAGAGAATGTCAAGAACTTTTCTTATAGGAACTCTATCCTAATCCATCAATTTAACACAACCAAAAGGACTCAGGAAGTTTCGTTGAAATCTCAGATAACCTAAAAATACAACATTAAATGAAGATTTTACGGATAACAATGGTATCCAACCTTGTTAAAAATCAACATACTTACTTAAGAAATAAATAAGTTTTTGAAAATTTCTAAAAATTTTTTGTTCTAAAATTTTAGGAATAATAATTTTTGAAAGAGTTTGAAACAATACTATTTAGTATAATCATTTAGTAATAAATAAATAAGATCATTTTGTATTACATAATAAAAAACTTTTTTATTTGACCGAAATTTTTTGAAGTAAAAATTTCCACAAATTTATGCAAAAATCTTTTAGAAATTTTCATTTTGAAAATTTTTGAAAAAAATTGTGCAAATTTTCGAAGTGAAAACTTTTCAGAAATTTTTGTTTTTTAAAATTTCCTAATGTTATAATAGATTAAGCTGTAAACTATACTAATGTATAGACTATTAATTATACTAATATATATATTATCTATTACACTATCTACTATATTATTTATTACACTTTTGATTACACTATTGATTACATTGTAGATTATGCTATCAATTATGCTGAAGATCTAAAGTTGTAATATATAATAGTTATATTAATTTCTAACTGATTTACATTAATAATTATACCAATATATATAATACAAATAATAAAATATATAATAATGAATAATATAATAAAGATAAAAATAAAAGAATAGAGCTAACAGTAGTTATGATCTTTAGTAAATTGATTTTCAATAATAAAATTATTGATAAATGTAACTGTTATTACAAATTACTATTAGGAGATTGTAATCTAAGATTAAAGTGGAATAATTATTCTATAGATATAATGGAATATTAAGTATAGAAATATTAAAATGTGAATAACTTGATAAATAGATTATCAAACAAGGGTTGACTTCAATAAAAAAACAAAAAATATATATAATACTATTTGTTTTATCAAATTATTTTCAAATTATTCTTGTCATACTTAAAAATTATCAGTTTTTCTTTATTCAATTTGAATTTTTACCAATTTGTAAATATTTCTAATTTTATTTATCAAAAACATTACTTGTTTTTGTCATTCAACTTGTGTTTATATATACTTGTATGACTGAGGGTTCAAAAAAAGCCTAATATAAATTATTTATTAAGAATTAGTAAAAGAAAATTTTAAATTAGCCAGCCCTTGCGATACGAAAAAAACCCCTCAAAAAGGTTGTTACACTAATTTCCTATTATACACATCCTAACCCCTGATAGTAAAAGCCTTTTTATAGCCCGACATTTTTTTTATATAAGGGAGAATGCCAAAGAAATATCTTTCAAGACATACGGTGCCTTTGAGAGTTCCTTTGAGTCGAAGAGTACAATCTTTGAAAAGTTTTCGAAGGGGCTCGGCAACTTACAATAAATCAAAAAGAAGAAACGGATATTTCAGGATGGATAATACGATTGCACAACAAGATAATGTTGATAAAGATCAGGATCTAAAGCAAGGGGAAGAGGATCTTTCATTTATTGAGATTTCAAATCAAGAACAAATCGATTTGCAACTTAGTGAAGAAGAAACAAGCAACCATAATGAGGAAAATAATGTGGCTACTTCTGTTGGACAAAGTAATGGTGCGACCATTAAAGAATCAGCGCCAGTGAAATTGAATCGTAATAATTACAAAAATAATATGCAAACCACTCAAACTACTGGAACTGGTACTTCGCCACCTTCTACTTCCCAAATTTTACAACCTAAAAATATAGAAATTAGAGGTACTACACCAGTTGACACTCCTCCACCACAGTCATCGCTTCATAATAACGGTGGAATTGCTTCGGTTACAAATAGATATGGTATTCCTATCAGTAAAACGCGTATTTTCGTTGGGGATCTTTCTTGGAAACTTTCCGAAAAACAACTCAAAGATGAATTTGGACGTTTTGGAACTGTAACTGAAGTTATTGTAATTAAAGATAGGAATACTGGTAAGTTTATGGACTGTTATTTGCTGTAAGGAACTTGATAATTAATTATTTATTTTACCCATTTTTTTTTTATCCAATTATTGTTAAAGGCTTAAGCAAAGGTTATGGTTTTGTTACTTTTGAGGAAAAACATGCTGCTTCTGAAGCGATTAAAATTATGAATGGTCAACATATTGATGGTCGACCTATACGAGTTGAGGCTGCAGAAGAACGTCCATTGGATGAACGTTATGATAAACAAAAGGACCAAACCCAAGAATTTAGGAGAATAATTGATTATGGCAGAAAAGATTATTATAGGAGAGAAAGAGATAATTTAATCAGAAATGATTCCGAATATAGGCGAGAAAACGATAATGGAATGGAAAAAAGAGGTCGTGATGATGAACGGAGGGAATACGAAGTTGAATATCGGAGAAGAGATATTGAATATTACAGGAGAGATGGAGATTTTGAACGTCGAGCAATGGATACTGGAATTAAGAGAGAAAGAAGAAAGCATTCATTAGATTCTATTGAACCCAATCTTTTTTCTCCCAAAGGACAATCGAATAGAAATTTTGTTCGAATCAAAGAGCAAGAATATGTACGAGACCGTGAGTATGAACGGCCACATGATCGTAATGCCAATATTGTTCAAGATGACAAAGATGAAAAGAATAAGAATCCAAATCCGATTCATGATCATCATGATCATAATACTCCGTTTTATCAAACTAATCCGTCAGACAGGAATGCCGATCCTCTGTATAATAGAGGATCAAGATTTATGGAAAAAGGAAAGGATAAAAATGCTAGTAGTCGCAAGAGAGCACGATCTAACAGCGTTAACCCGGATGACTCGTATTATTCAAGATCATCTGACATCATGCATGTCGATGCTTCAACGCCACCTCCACCTCCCCTACCACCAGCTATGGTAACTTCAAATCGTGCGAATATTACTGGACATTCAACTGCACATCATAGACCCCGAACACCACCTCTTTTTGAGCCTGAACCTTCACAAGCTACTTGGCAATCTTCTTCGAGAATGCTTAGAAAAGATTATTTCATTGATGGACAATCACAGGATTTTGTGCGTAAACGAGATCGAATTCGTGAAAGGGAAAGGTACAGAGAATTTGATCGTGAGAGTGCACCGCGATTTTTAGATAGAACTCGTGAAAGACAACGCATTATAGATAAGGATAGAGAAATCGAAAGAGTACGAAAAGAGAGATTTGAAAGGGAAAGAGATTTTAAAATCATGGAAAGAGAAAGAGAATTACGTGAAAGGGAACGGGAGTTAGTGCGACCACGGAACCACCCACGATATTATGAATCTGAAAGGGAACCGCATCGTTTTCGACCCCCTTATTATGAATACGGCAGAGACGTTAGGCCACCATATTATGATTTTAACAGAGAAACAGATTTTAGAGACAGAGAACATGATCTTATGAATTATAGGGAAACCAATCGTGATTCGTACTATCCTCGTCCGTCACCACCACCTGGAAATTTAACACCATACAGGGTTAACGTTAAACCATATTATTATGAACAACCTGTAATGTATCCACCCAGATCAATCTCACCACGTGGGCGTTACCCGCCTCGACGCTCTTCCTCTCCTCCTCCTCCACCACCACCGCCTCCAGGGCTTAGACCTCCACCAATTCCACCATATGATCGTCGAAATGAACGGAATCGGGTACCTCGTTATGATGCTATTAATAAGGATCATGATTTTGATAATCGGCGTGATAATTACGGGCATCATTATAATGATATTGATCATTATGCACCAGAGATCCATACAAATACTTCCGGTATTAAGCATTATAAAGAAAACCCCGGAGCAGCTGGTGGAGGTGGAACAAACAATGAAGTATATCAGCGTGGTCGTCCAAAATCAAGACATTGGGAAATAAATGCAGAAAAAGAAAGAGGGGCAAAGAAACCCCAAATCAATCTTAATAGTGTTTCTACAGTGGATTTTGATCGTGCTCGGACGCGTGAGAGACGCAACAGACAATGGGAAATCACTGATGACAAGAGTAGAGAAACTGATCCAAGTCAAAATGATAATGTTATGTCTACTAGTGATCAAGACAGATCTCATGATCATGGACACAATGAAAGTCGAAATAGCTGGGATGCAAATGAAGAAAAATCCAGAGAAATCAAAGATGAGCACAATAATGATAGTTTAGACGCAACTTCAGCATATGATCTTCAAGTTACTCGAGAAAGGACTGCTGATAATTATTGGGACATGAATGAGGAAAAAAATGTGGAGCAGCACGAAGACAACTCTACAATGAACCGTAGAGATAATAGTAAAGATAACAAAGAACGAGAAGAATTTGATCCAGGGTTTTCATCATTAAATAATGAATCATCATCTATTCCTATACCCGATTTCTTTCCTCCTTTAACTATGCCCACAGATACTTCATTCAATCTTCAATCATCACCATCAATGACTTCAATGAACAATCAAAAAAATAATCATACTCAGCATACCCATTTTTAGATTAAGCTCGTAATATTAAAGAATTCAATGTCAATGATGATGGATAAACATTATCCATTTATTCTTTGACATTGTGATCTTTTTTAATACGAGATTTAATCTTCAAGGCGTTGTCAAGTCGTTTTTGGTGAATAATTGTTCCGTAAATTTTTTTGTAATCAAGATAAACGCGTTAATTTTTGTTCCTTTAAAGGAACGACATGATCCTCTCTCCATATCACAAAGTTGTTTTTACAACTAAAAAAAATAATATTGAATCGGGTTTCGCAAATTGGATAAATAGAGATTAAAGCTTTAACAATGAGTGAATAGTGTGAAAAAGGGAGTGAAAAAGGGGTGTGAATGATGTGAATGGCGTGAATGGTGTGAATGATATGAGATGCGTGAATAGTTTGAATTACTTGAATGGATTATGAGTCGCGTGAAAGATTTGACATGGAGTGAATGGAGTAAAAAAGCGAGAGAATATGATTAATCAAAAGGATATTAAATAACTAATATCCACAAATATTTTTAATTGTTTTCAATGTTCTCGAGTTTTTCCAAATATTTCATTATTTCTGATTTCGTTTCGATTTCACAATTTATTGTTTATTGTTTATTTTTTATACGAAATAATAATAATGTAAATAATTAGTATAATTTAGTTATAAAATTATTTTGAAATAAAATTTGTTTAATTTTTTTAATTTTGAACTTGCATTTATTATATTTCTTATGTTTATTATTTTTAATGCGTATGTACTAAATTGTGTGCCAATTAATAGTTTATCAAAGAAAGTATTGAAAAGTCAATGAAAGTTTAAATTTTCAATAAATGATAAATTAATAAAAATTTTCTAATAGTTAAAAACTTTGAATTAAATTCATGTCTTCAACAAAAAATATTACAACACAAACAATTCCAATTCACGCGGTGGAACGTTCTTCGACCGTGTGTTTAACGTCAAGTTGTCTCAAAAAATCCGCTGAACAAAGTCATTTTACTATGTTAAAAGTCACCTGTATACAAAATATTGAATATAATGTTCAATTACTTCCAACTATGGGACAACTTAGTGAGAAAGACATAAGGAGAATGGATGTATTATTGTCCAGAGGAAGACTTCTCGTCAATATATCCTTTAATCCTAAAAATTGTAAAAATCCGGTGACAAAATAAAAAATAAATTATTTAATAATATAATAATAAAATTAAAATAAATAAAATGAATAAAATACTTTC